TTTAGCCACTTTAATTTTCTTTATTTATACATAGAAAACAAGTAATGAAATACTCGTATATTACTAATTTATAGAAAATGGAGATAATTTACTCGTGATATAATAAATTTTAGACATTTGCAGGAGACTATTAATAATTTCAGAACTGATGACTTTAGACAAACAATCGATAATGATAAGCACGTTATTTATTTATTATTATTAAACTAGTTTAATATTTTAAATTATCTTAGAATATTAAAATTTTAAAAATTGGTACATATATTATCAATTAAATAACCTCTTTCTTATACTCTCACAATTTTCTACTGAGAATACTATAGCTACAATATACTGAGTGCTTTGTATGCCGCTTTTGTTTGCGCAAGACGCCCAATGGCAACGCTGAAAAGCCGCTTTGCGTCGCGAATTAATTCGCCAAATCGGGAAAATGCACATTTTCCGGTGAAGCGAGCGGACAAGAAGGACTCTCACTCGTCTGGTGGGGCACAAAGTAATTTTTTTGCTTTTAAACCAGCAGGAGTTGTATGCACTCCAGACGTCTGAGCACTCTGTCGCCAATCTGACATCGTTTTAATGAGACTGTGACTAAGTGAGAGAGAGAGAGAGAGAACGGAGAACTAGAAGAGAGAAAAGTACGGCGATAAGGAAGCATTATGAAAGCACGACGAGTTCGGCCGAATTAGCGGCGGGCTAATAACAAAAAGTCGAATTAAAATAACAATTGTGCCAGGACGAGAGGACGACGCGAGGGGATTTAAATCCCTGCAGCTCCCTATCCTTCCAATTCTTCTCATCTCGCTCCCACCGGGCGTTCCCTTTTTCACTGGAATATTTTGAAATTGCAAATTTGCGTCGCGTCCCGTCTCTCTCTCTCTCTCTCTCTCTCTCTCTCTTTCTCTCTCTCTCCCTCTCGCCTTCGTCCACTCTCATCTTCTCTCTGTCGCGCGAATTTAAATAAAATACGCACCCCATCGATTTGCAGCTTCCCAAGCGAGCGGCGGGGAGACAGGAGTGCATGCGGGGGCTCCTCTTTATCGTTTTCCGATGGCATCGTATTTGGTGGAACGCGACAACGCGGATCGATGTGTTCCTCGCGTAAATGCAAACGTCACGATAATATTCGCGTCATATTCATTCGCGGATAAGTGGACGGACGGGGTGGATGAACGGCCAGAGACGAGTTGCAGGAATAATTAAACTGCGGTTTCTATATATTTACTTTATTTAGGCATGAAACAAATTTAATTTAATTTAAAAGTTTTGATATATATGTTATAAACACGAGTGCATATACGCTCGGCGTTTTATTCTGTTTTACTTTTTGTTTTAAGGAAATATCATGGGAAACAATATTTTTTACACACGTATTACCTGTTACCGTGTCTCGTCATCTAATTTATCTTATTTTTTAATATCTATTTTTGTATTTATTTGTCTATCTCGCATTTTAATAAAAACAGTACAACGAAGTCGAGTGCATTCGTGCGAAGACATCGGCGAAGGGCGATTACGACACGTACACACGAGGCAAAACCGATACTTGTCGGCATCTGATGCCGCGGCGTGCATCGCGTCGCGGTGTGCGCTGCTCGATACAATATTATCCGCGAAAACACACTCTCGACTGCGGAACGACTTCTCGAGGGCGAGTAGCAGCCGGTGCGGCAGTTTGCCACGGAAAAGAATTTAACGCAGCACGCGCTAGACACGATTTTTTTTCCGCCCTACGAGGGAAGGCACGCTCTCCAGGACCATCCAGGAATGCGAATATACGACGCGGTGTGTTATCGAGCTCCGCCTTCGCCAATTTTCCCTTCGCTGCGCATACATAGCGTAGTCATTTTACAAAAGCAGTCTTGCAACCTTTCGCCGGTGATGAAAGAGAGCGCTGGCTCGTTAATTATTTTGAATGCGGCAGCACATCCAGTGTACGTTGTAATGCTATTTAATATTATATTAGATATTAATATTATGTTTGTGCGCCAACAACATCTATATTGGAGGACATTCTTTCTTCAATATGATTATCATTTTATATTATAAAATTGGTCACAGAGTTTGAAATTAATAACATTGTGTCAAACAAATTTTACAATAAAATGACAATATTACAATAATATATTATATAATTAACATTATCTCTAAAATGTGATATAATTATATTTGCATTTTGTGCGATAAAATATTTTTATAATATAACAATGTTACCAGTTCTATAATAAAAAAAATAATAGTACTATTAATATATTTTCTATAATAATATTAGCTTAACAGCATTAGTATTATTTGCTAGTGTTGCTATATTAATAATCAACAATTTCAGAATATTATTAACTAAATTTCTAACTTTTTCTTAAATTGCGGACCTTTTCTTTACTTAGAACGTTAGAAATTTAATATCGAGGCGACTATATAGATTGATCAATCGATCTGGATAACGTCCAAATGTGTTCGCGTTAGCGAAATCAATATGTTGGCGATTATCGGGAACAACTAGCCGGCTTACTATATACTCTCACGGAGGACCCGCACGTTATCGGACTTATTGAATTCCTGGTCGTCTTTGTAAGCTCGTCCGGAGACGTTGGACGGGATAAAGGCGGTGGCGGCTGTCAGAAAAGTCAGAATACTCCGGGGATGGTGTGCGCGGTTCAGAAGAAGTGGCGAGTGAGTCGGGAGGGTGGAGACGAATGGAGGGAAAACGGGGTGATGAGGAGACAGAGAACGAGCAAGATTCAGAAGGAAGAAGAGATGAGAGAGAGAAAGAGAGAGAAACAAGGATGAGTTTTGCGGTACGAACGGACAGGCTAGTAGGTGGAATGAGAGAGTGTGAAGGCGAAGGGGAGCAGGGAGGATGGATTGTCGGTGCCAGGTTTAGGGGCGCCTCCATAGATCATAGAGAGGGTACGTTTTGAATAATTTACCGTGGCTATCTGTTTCGCGCGGCGAAGTGAGGGGCGCCAAAGGAGGTGTCAAGGTTGTGATGGGATTGAGTTTACTTCCAATCACGGGAAAATTCCGATCAGCGGCTCGGAACGCATCTTTTCGCAATAGGGGTGGTGCAGATTGGTAGCGAAATTGAGAAGAAATGATCTGTGCGATTAAAGATATCGGGACTTAGAGGAAATACACGTTCGAGGGGGCGATACGTAATCTTGATCGGAAGCAGAAAAATCTATTTATCGAGAATTATTCTAGTATTGATCCGAAAGTATAATATAATCTGTTGCATAAGTTTCTACAGATATAAAAAAAATACAATTTAAAGCTGCAGAAATAGAATTTGAAATGTAAATGTTGAAGCTTCCTGAATATTTTATCGATAATTTCTCGTTTCAATTGTTTGTTAAAATTTATTATGTAAAATTAAATTTATGTGAATATATGCATCTACAGTATTTATTATTTATTACAAATATTGAAATTTTTGTGACCAAGAATATATTATACAATTTATTACAGACGCTTTTATATATTCACTTCTAATTCTGTAAAGCTACCTTTAAAAATTCAACATCAGGCACACGTAAAAAACAGCGCATACAGATTTACATTTGTTGAAAAAAATTATTTACATATTTCATCCTTTTAGGATAATTTTACATGAAAAGGAAAAAATGCTGTGTGCCAAAGTTCAAAATATATTATTTTATATCGAAAAATATAATTTTTGCGTAGCAGCGCTTTTCTCTTTTAAAATTATTACATTTTTATTTTATGTAAAATTCTCTCACGCAAAATGGTTCGAAAATTGAAATGTTTCTTTTTCCTATCCATCTATCTCTTTCATTAGATATCGGATTTGCATTTATTCATGCCGTTACGTTATTAGCGTGACACCTCGCAAGTTAAACGCAAACAAATTGAAACGCTCTAAGATCGGTGCGGGGCAGATAAGACACGCTCTGAAGCAATCTCTCTCGGGAACGACGATTTTTGCTCACGATATTGCAGCGCTCTGCAATGATACCGTATACACCTTTTGTCCGCTCTTATATTGTCATATTTCTGTGTTTCTCGTCAGAGGGAAAGAGATCGAGGAGAGAATATATACGAGCAATGGCTCCCCAGCCTCTGAAGAAGCCGCGAAGCTCTCGGCGCTCTTATCTTAATTCGAAAACTTTAGCCTAGCGAATGGAGAAATTGCTGGCTCCTGCTAAACGAGCTTCATTAATTGCGATCTTCCATAAAATATCCTTTTCATTCTGCATTTTCCTTTTCTAATAAGGAACCAAAAGACAATTTTCATACTGGTAGCTTCATTATAATCGATTATACAGGGTGTCCCATAATAACCGCCTAAAATCTCGTGGGCTGATAAAGCAGATTAAACTGAACAGAAAAGTCCTCTACCATTTTGCAAAAGTCGCAATCGTTAACGAGATATTAATTTTTGAAGATTGGCAATAAACGCGTATTTGTCCGACCCCCCGCTGAATACCAGCGGTGGGGCGGCCATATCTCGCCGCGTTGCTAAGCGTGTGGGGATAGAGTCTATCACCTCATGCCTAGCAGCGCGACGAGATACGACTGGCACGACCGCCCCACCGCTGGTATTCAGCGGTGGGCCGGACGGATACGCGTTTATTTGCAATCTTCAAAAATTAATATCTCGTTAACGATTGCGACTTTTGCAAAATGGTAAAGGACTTTTCTGTTCAGTTTAATCTGCTCTACTAGCCCACAAGATTTTAGGCGGTTATTATGGGACACCCTGTATACTTTATCGAGATTAATTCAATTAGAGACCAAATTAGGGTTCGCGTGCAAGAATCGAGAATAATTGGAAGTTGTAAATCTCGTATTAATTGGAATTGAATTTCCCTTGTTAGAAGCCGCTTGAAACTTTGGAGATTTTGCCGAAAGGGCACTGCGAATGTCACGCTCAGGGCCTCCCAGGGCCACCGCGCATCACGATCCACCGTTGACAAAAGGAGGCTGCAGGGGGGGATCGTAAGAGTCGAGAGAGGGGAGAATCGTCGGCTTACTTCACAGCAGTTACGCCCAATGAATGACGTCAGGTGCGTACGTGCAGTGCGGTCGAACACGCGTGTCATTCGCTCGCTCCGAAAAGGAAAGCTCCGAGAGAGCGACGTTAACGATGATGCGCAACGATATCACAATTGTGTTGTGCGTGCTGTTGTTGTTCGCCACGACAGGTGAGACAAGCGAAGATCCAGAGAGAATAAATCAGAGGAAAAAAAAACGTGTCTAAAGTATCGCAGTGAATGCACCTGCGATCGCCATTTTGGAAACGAAACTCTGTGATCAATTCTTCGTTGTTTACGGGCGTTGTTTATGGGCGTGAAAATTTTTCGACGATTGATATGACCCTTTAATAATTTTAATCAGCTTTAATTCGACTTGTCTCGAAAATATTCAGCTGTCATAGTTTTTAAGGAATATAATAATGTATGATAAAATAATACAGAAAGGGGAATATGAATAAATATAAAAATGTCTATATTTTTTATAGAGATGTATTTTATCACAGTTATTATTGAAAATAGAAATGGAGTAACAATGAAGAAAATTTAGTATTTCAATAAAACTATAGAAAAGAGATTCAAAAAGCATGATATAGAAATATTTTCTACATATGATTTCTAGGTTAGGAATTGTGGTTTCCATCAGTTACTCCAGTCATAATATTCCAACGATTAATTCCAATAGGATTAATTTACTACGAACTAATTATTCAAATTCATCGGGGTACTGCTTCAATTGCTCTAATTAGATACTTTGAGTCAACTTGTATATGATTCATGTGATTAACGCTGTTATGTTATTTTGGAATGTGCAGGTACTAAAGGGATACGCTGTTATCAGTGTAGCTCCGACACTGATCCGAGCGATCCGTACAAGGACGACCTTTGCGGGGCTTACACGAAATTCGACAAAGAGAGGAATGTGCCTATTGAGTGTAACAGCGAGGAATCGCACATGCCTGGCACGTTTTGTGTTAAATACACGGAGCAAAGCCCACGTGGTTTCATCTGTAAGTATATCTATTATAAAATGATATTTAGTATTACGTAATGAGAAATAAAGAGATATATCTCAAATATTTTAGTTATCGTGACCTGTTTTTATTTTCTGTAACACAAATTAATTGGCATTATTTTTCTTAATTGGTTGTATTTATTATTATCGATACATCCAAAACGTTTCGCTTTTTAATGTATTTATTTTTACATTTTATTTATTTAAAATTTCTTTAATTTTAATTTAAAGAAAAAATGTGACCTATTTTTTTATGTAATTAAGTAATATTTTTCAAAATTTAAATTATGTAAATCAAGTCCTTCAAAATTTGTGATACTTAAAGAAGTTCATGGAATTATAAAAAATTAAATTTACTTAGAATTAGAAAATTATTTTTTATAAATATAATTTATAATCAGAAGTTGCAATACATGTATGAATATTTTTTGTATTAAACTGTATTTACATTCGACATTTGATAAAAGCGCAAATAATGACGAAGATGATCATCTTATCTTGAGTATAAATCAAGAAATCTAATACCCACAAAATCCCGATCGAAAGAAATCTCTTGTTAGAAAGACAGCTTTTAATTTAATTTTCTTTTGATAAAATTACGAAAATATGCGCTTTATGGAAAATGGTAACCGATCATCGCATTAGCTGATATGTGTATATGCGCGTATTCAGCGTTGAATTTCGAGTTGCATATGTGTGCGAGGAGTAATTAATTAATTAATCGGCAATGTTCAAGGGGATGGTAGGTGGCGACAGGTGATCCGGCGATGCGCTTCTGTCGCCAGTACTGGGGTCACGGGGGTTTGTAATTGGGGCGTTCACGAGAACGGAGTTTACTGGCAGGAATGCTATTGCTCCGAGGACGCCTGTAACGCAGCATCCAATCTGGCGTCCCTTACCACGCTGCTCCTCACGGCATGCGGTGCCATCATTACGCTATCTTATTTCAAGTGAAAAAAAGTTTTCGGAGTTCTCAAGTTTTCAAGAGATGAAAACGGTAAGACAAATATTGGACCAGAAGGAGGAATCGATGTTGAAGCTTCTGTTGTAGGAAATGAGAAGTTTCGATTACAGCTAACATGAGCGCGCACAGAATGGTACAGATGTTTTTTCGAAAAATTTTGTAGTTGATTTTCTTTTTTGCAAAATTTTAATTAGACGCCATCATAAATATTTTTCATGTCTCTGTGTTCAGTTTATATTTAAGATGCATTAAAAAGCAATAATAATTAAAAAGCGACGAACATAATAGCTATAAACTTTCTAGAACTTATAGTATTCAATACGCAATTTTTATATAGATGATCGTCAAACTGTTGTTAGAAAAAAAAATCAACTGCAAAGTTACCAAAGAATATACTCTGGTTCCAGTTTAATGAGTCTTGTAAATACATTAAATTATACGTCCGTCCATATACCATAAAAGATCTCTGGAAATCTCTTTTATGTAAATAGTCTAAGATATATCTATCTATCTATCCGTCCATTTAGCATTGTTAAAAAATGAAGTATTATTCACTGCTAATGAAGCTTTGAGTTACAACTAATTAACTAAATTTAATCTTGAGAAGAACTAATGAGAAGCTGATTAAGTTTTAAGACAATAGATCTGTTTATTACATCTCAAGATAAGTGTGAAATAAGTTTAAAATATTCAGGACAGTAGTGAGACATGACAAACCTGTTGCTTTTGGTATCTGATTGTCTCGGCAAGACGACATATATTTTATTTCCGACAATAAAAGTACCTTTTAAATTCTATTAAAAATTTTATTAAAATAAGTTTTCTTAAAAGTGCCTTCTTATATGCAAAGTGTTCAATCGCTTTTGATAATCTATTTAGAATAGCGTGTCAATTATACATAAAAGACTGGATTTAAAGCAACGATAAATCAAGATAACTTAAAATTTTGTAAGAGATCAAAAAACAATTTCGATAAAAATTTTCGACTATAATTAACTATTAATTAATCCTTAGATAAATAAAAAATGTCATGAAACTTTTTTACATGTTGCTTAGCACGTCGTCGCTTTAAATCCTGCGATTCGTTTATCCTTTGAATTTTTAAAGCATTTTATATTTTTCTATATATATGCATCTATTGTGCAATGAAAATAACAGATTTACTGTATTTAATTTAATTGTATACATCTTTATGTATAAATAAAGAAATGAAAAAGGAAACATGTAAATAAATTTACATATTAAAAACACATTCTTACAATTCTTTCACTAGATAAGAACCGTCGGCAAACGAAAGGAAGACCATCCAAGTCTCGGTATTTAAAATGTATATTTATTGTTAATAACAAAAACTCTCGCACACGTATTTGCAACTCCGAACGCGATTGCTTAAAACTGGTATACATTTTATTTCGTTCTTTTCTTCTCCCCCTCTCAGATTCTTTTCGCACCTTTTTGTGCGGTCGTGAATCTTTGAGAAGCCATTAGATGTGCTCGCCCACGTCGCACGCGGTAACATTAACGGGGCGGAAAAACGCGGTGAAAATGAAACCTACTTTTGTCTCTCGACTTGACTGACTTTTTGCGGCGGCCCCGGGAAAGAGAGCACGCCTCGCAAGCCGGGAGATTAATGTTTTCCGCGGCGGTGCTGATCGCATCTGCGCAAAATTCTCATTTGCTAACTGTTTACGCCTGCTTAAGTGCAACTTACGCGCTATTTCAGCCGCGTTTAACGCCATGACTGATTAAACTATCCTTTCTTATCTAGATTTATGGCGCGTGCTTATCTGACGCTTATATTTTTATACGTTTTCTCTTACTCATCTCGCAGGCTCTTAATTAATCACTTTTGTAGAATATTTTTCTTTAAAATCCAGGAAATATTCGGAAATTCATAAATAAAACAACTGATTAACTGTATACATGTCAAGTTTGTATTTCTTTATTATTTACAGTAATAATAAAAATTGCTCTACTTCTTTCATGTAAACTTAATAAGTTTGAAAAGTATAAATTAAAATTTATGTTTAAGTTTTGCTAATTTGCGTTAGACTATAATTTTTGTAAACCATCATATTTAATTCTTCCTCATTATCACTATAACGTTAATTGTAAAAAAAAATTTGTCAGAAAAGTGTAACGTTTAATATAACAGCATGAAAATTAAATATTTTCAAAAAGATGATTTATATATACATATATAATATTTAAACAAGAGATTTGTTCTCGTGATATTTGAGTGAATCGGAGACACACCGTAAATTATATATACAACTTATCCATCACGCGTCACCGGCACGCGCGTTAAACGCACATTGTGCGCAAATAAACGGCGGTTCTCGAGTTGAACTTTTGCGAGAAAGGTTGCGCCCGCCTGAATCCTCAAGGCTCAACGCCGCCGCGACCCACTTCCGGTATTAAGCATAGAGCCCGAGGACACCCTTCTGAACGTACGTCACCCCATAATGCAGGAAATTCGTTGGCCGCGAGTTAATTACGTCACGCGAGACTATTAATGCCTCAACAGATCCGACGTACGCGTTGTATGTACAACAATGGTCTCGGCTATTTAGGCCCTTCTCGTACATTACGTCACCACATGCCAACCCTCGTTACGCGGGTCGTGCTATGCGATAATTAAGATCGTCGCCGCCGAAGCGTTAAAGCAGCAACAACATCAGCAGCGTTGCTGGTGGTTGATAATACTCTTTGGAAAGGTCTTATCACGCACCGATCCTTTTTCAATCCCAATATAACACCGGAAGGTTTCCACGAAGGTTTACATCGAGGAACGATGCTTGCCTTCCGAGAATTCAGATTGTATCGGGTATCTCACAAACGCGTGAGCACGCTTAGATAACATAATCATTGACTGTTAATATTTGAAACGAAAATTTTTGAAGAATCAAGAACAAATAATGAGGCTTATAATATTAGAATAATGCGTGTACAGATTCCGTATGGACACCAATGGCAGATATATGTCTTTTGCTTACCGTTATTTGCGAAATAGCGATATATGTAACAATTCCGTCTGTAACAATGGCCGACAATGCTAGAAAGACGAGGCTCGCACCTTCTCACGGTTTCTACGAAAAAAAAGTGACTCACGCGATCACGTGTTATCCAGCCTCACCGAAAAGGAAATGGAAGGGATATTTACACAAAGAAAAGCCACCTTTATAGTTATGTACGCCAAAGTGCTTAACGCTAATATGAATATGGCTCATTTTTGCGTGAGAGTATTCCTTTCATTTCATTTTCCACGAAGCCGCGTCTCATTTTTGCCAATACTGATTACAGAAATAACAACTATACAAACGAGCGCGACTACTTATTCTTTTACCACGGAGCATTACAGAAATTTTTTTAATGCATTTAAAAATTAATACATTTAATATTGGATGTGTTCCAAAATGTACTAATAGTAATTAAAATCTAGTATATGTTATGTGAATTACTTTCAATATTGTTAATAGATTTCATAGAATGCACCTTACCTATACATTTTTTATAAGTTTCAATAAAAAAAAAGTAGTTTCATAAGGTTGATTTATACATGTGATGTATCAATCACGATGATAAAGAAACTGATAGGAAAATAAATAATAAAGGAAAAATGAAATATAATTTTCTTCATATTTTTTATCTATATAAATTAAAATATAATTACGAATTCGGTTTTACTTCAATGCATTTTATTGGTATACAAATTAAGCATATAATATCGAAAACCGATTAAATACATAACACTGAGAAAAAAAGCAATATTAAATTCATCAAAAACAATTTGCTTTGTATTGTCGAAAGAAAGCAGTTGTTAAAAATCCTGACATTACAATATATTCACACAAGATGATCTAAAAAACAATTGGAATTTTTTCGTTAAATATAATACAGATATAAAAAAAAATAGAACATATATAATTAATGTAAGTTTGTAAAGATACTTTTGTTTTTATTTCCATTTATTTTAGATCAACTTGTAGACTTGAGAAAATTATATCTAAAATTGTTAAATATAATTAATAAGTTTCATTCATAGAAGCTCAAATCATAAATTGTACTTTTAATTTGTATAATACTTATTTGCATAAAAAAATACATAAAAATTTCAAAATTAATACATTTATAAAAAGAAAAAAAACATAGTTTTGGTAATTAAATAAGAAAAATATCTTTATCAATTCTCTTAATTTATCCAAGACTGCAATATTATATGAGCCAAATATTAGTGGATGTAAAACTAATATTTCTCACAGTTGGGGGTCAAAGAAAACTGTGGAGTGCTAGTCTCACATATTTTACTGTTCTCAATCAATTCCATTATCTTACATGAATCTTCTGACGATAAATTTTGAAATTTTTTAGTATTTGTAATATCATTTTTATATAACTTAAAAAAAGTTGACGAGTGCGATTCTAAAAATTTTGCATTGGACGAAGATGCAAGTTTTATAAGTTCCACGACATTTTCAATCGTAATATAGCGTAATAAATAATGTTCACACGTTAATTTTAAAGCTGATACATCATATCTATCGGCTGTTATTAACAACTTTTTAAGCATGTCATAATCATCTTGTACTTGTTTTATTGAACCATTTGTAATAAATGACAAAAGGTATTTAAAAGCTTGTACCTCATTATTTCTCGTTAATTCATTTGTCAATTCTTTTTTGTCTTCCTTATATGTAAGACAGATATTCTTAAAGTAGTTACTGTTGGTAGCATACAACAATTTTTTCGGTATAACATGTTGTTCTTTATCTATTATAAATGTGATTGAGTCCCCATTCTCAGGTTCAAACTGATCAAGTGTTAAGTCTTCAAAGTTTACGACTTCTGAATATACTGTTGAGGGTAGTACATTCATATGTATAGCCTTATTTGTTATTGTATGAAAAATTTCAAACTTGCAGTGTATTTTAAACGTATCGGTGTAAATGTAATCAAAGTCTGAAGTTTCCATTAATAATGTCATATCCTCTATATGACCCGAAACTGTTTTTGATTGTACAGAGTTAGGTGGATTCATCACAGTACATGAACCAGAAAATGGTGTATTAGTACGCATATAAATTTGGACCATACTTAGAGATTCAGGCCATTTCACCTCAGTACATTTGGAATTGTTGGAATTACGACAATAATGACAGTAAAATGATCTATTAGTACGACAGGAATTACAGTATATATTTGATGTATTACTACCACTCACAAGTTTGACTTCATTTGGAGATTCAGATTTACGTATAATATTCATTTGAATCATGTATTTACCGTTTTCTGGAAATGGTGCAGAACGTAATGTATCTATAATTTTGCAAACAAGCTTAAATTGATCGATTTTCCATGAATACTCGAATGTAGTTGATTCAATTCGTGTGGTAGAATAACTCTTGACATAGGAAGGTAAAACTGATAAAGCCTGCTGCTTTTCTGAAGACTCCTCAGTAAAGACATTCTCAACTTGTTTTTCGTCAGAATTCTGAAAATAAGCTTATAACTTATAACAACTTACAAATAATGAAAATGATAAAGATCAGAGTATTTTAAAAATCTCTGCATCTTTTTTAGTAAAATATATTAAATTTATTTATAATTTTATACTTCATGCATTTTGATGTACTTTAATACATATATTTTATATAAGTGAAATTCTTTAAATGCTTTTCACGTTACATGGTATATTAAATAAAATTATATCTTGAATTCTGACAAATAATAGATAAGTCTGCAGTAAACTTTTTGCAGCAATAATTTTTAATTGCATTCAAATTACATATGCTAGTAAAAATTAGATTTGATGCATTTGGATGTATGAATTTTCTTCGTGATATATGCTTCAAAATATATTGAATTATCACTTTGGGAAATGTCACAAATGCGTTGTGTTT